ATGTGATTTCCTTGTCAAGTTAACTTGGGCAAATGGGATATAGGCACAAAAGTTTTTCTTTTTTCCCTCAATTTTTTTTTTTTGGGTGGACATCATGAAGTACATGTTTGTTCTTTAATTATTTACAGTTTGACAAAAATGCTAGCTTTAACGGGAGGATGAAATATCTTCTTTCAGAAGATGGAAACTTCAAGACGTTTCTCTGAAGGCTCACAAGGCTCAAGCTGTCATTCAGAGTCAATCAAGAAGATTCGACACACAGGCGCTTCCCAGTCCTGGTAGTCCTCTATTCAGTGCTGGCTGTTGCTCTCCCTTACCTCATTGCAACAAAAGATAATGCTATAGTAATAATAATAATTGCTTACACTTACTGTATATAGCGCTTTGCTGGACACGCCACTCAAAGCGCTTTACAGGTAATGGGGATCCCCTCCACCACCACCAGTGTGAAGCCCCACCTGGATGATGCAACAGCAGCCATAGTGCACCAGAACGCTCACCACACACCAGCTCTCAGTGTGGAGGAGAACAGAGTGATGAAGCCAGTTCATAGATGGGGATTATTAGGAGGCCACGATTAGTAAGGGCCAATGGGAAATATGGCCAGGACATGGGGGTTAAACCCCTACTCTTTTTGAGAAATGCCCTGGGATTTTTAATGAGCACAGAGAGTCAGGAACTCGGTTTTACGTCTCATCCGAAGGACGGCGCCTTTATGACAGTATAGTGTCCCCTTCACTATGCTGGACCCACACAGACTGCAGGGTGGGCACCCCCTACTGGCCCTACTAACACCTCTTCCAGCAGCAACCTTAGTTTTTCCCAGGAGGTCTCCATCCAGGTACTAACCAGGCTCACACCTGCTGAGCTTCAGTGGGCAGCCAGCTGTGAGTTGCGGGGTGATATGGCTGCAACCCATAACTGCCAACCCACTGAAGCTCAGCAGGTGTGAGCCTGGTCAGTACCTGGATTGTTTAATTTGAGTCCTGTGCATAATTTGCAACTGCTAAAGCTAAAGTATTAGAAAGTACTAATTAATCTTAGCCTTGAATCTCTAAAAGCCATTAACACCCGAGTTAACGTTAATCAGACTGAATCGGTTATTGAACATTGCTTTGGTTCCATAACACCAAGCTCAGCCAAGTGACAGTGTGATCTTAGGAAGCTCTGCAATAGCTTGCATCTCTCTCTCTGCCACCTGGCCAGCACTCTGCTAGCTGCACACTTGGTCTCCAGGAAAATGCTTCACATTCTAGTCTGCAAAAGATTTTTATGAACCATTAAACTTTACTTTAAAAACATTTTTCTTGAGCCTTTAATTTGTTCAAGAATGTGCCAGCCAGTTCGAGATCCTGTGCAAGGCTTGTTTTCGGTGTCCTGCATTGCTGAAACAATCATTATCTAAAATAAAAAGGACTAAAAAAGAATAGTGAGTGTAGAATGTGGTTTCAATCATTAAAATATCTACATATGTAGCAGGAGTTTAATACGGGAAATTGTCTTCCTACGTGAAGACCATATTTTCTTGCAAAATGTTCTATAAGTGTGAAGTAATTTGTTTAGCTCAGGTAAGGTTCGCAAATTATATTGTATTGTCAGCAGATTGTCAAGCTGCTCTGTGTGAGATAGTTGTTAAAAATTAAAAGTCTTGTTCCAGGTTCTCATCTGGTTCCAATCACTGGACTCCATTGAAATCAGGCCTGTTTTTGTGGAACATGCCTGAAGCTGCCAAACTTTGTTTTCAACTGATATTCCTGTACTGGTTTTGTCTTGAGGTCAGTGGTTTGATACTTCAGCCCAGGGAGCATGCTGGAATGTTACTACAGTGCATTGCAGCCTCATTCAGTGGTTCATGGATTCCAGCAATAATAAACTCAGATAAAGGATTACCTCTGTGTAATTAATATCCAAATTACTGTAAATTGTTGCATTCAAGGGCTTCTTAATGAATGAAAACATTTTGGAATTGTATTTTCTGTGCTGTGTTGACTGCAATAATACATCAAGACCTTTTGGGTGACTTCTAACTTAAAAAAGAGTAACTATATAGATACTCAATTCTCATTAATGCCAGTTTCGAAAGAGTGAAATGAAATAGCTTATATGAATTTCAATGGTTTGCCTGGTGTAGACTTACAAGGAAATACTCTAAAAGCAAGATTTTATTGTGTTAGCCATTTAAAAATAAAAAAAGAAAATTAGGTCTTAAAAAGGATAAATCATGGTAAGTTTACTTTAAAGAATAATAAATAAAGAATGTTGACTTTTGTAACATAATCTGAAGTGTAGCTTATCCCAAGATAGCAGTAATCAGATTTATCTACTGTCCACACTCATTCTTCCTGCTGCAGACTGTTTTACTAAGTCAATGAATTTCAATACCCTAAGGCAGAATTGCCCTCTTTTCCTCTGTAACCTAGCAGTCTGCACTGTTTTTATTGGCTGGGAATTCAGAAGGCTCCATTGAGAATCTACACAGGTAAGGAGTGTTGAATGTGTCTAGACAGTTGATGTCAATAAACCGAGCAAGTACAATCAATATGGAGATGTTTGGTTTGCTTTAAGATCACCTGACATTTTTTGTCAATGAAAGATACTCTCCCATCCATTGTCAGAAAGATGTTCTTTCTTAGTGAGAGCCCTGTCACCATGAAGCACTGGGCAAAAGACAGGACACTACACTCCAACTGGGCCATAGCAGGGCACACACACAGAGATGCTAACATACTGGCCAATAAAATCAAGAAAACCCACATTGAGAGGACATGCAAACTCAAAACCAAATGTGCCCTGGTCTGTATTTGAACCCAGGAACCAAGAACTGTGTGGCAGAAATTCTGCATTCCACTCCACCATCAAGAAACACTTAATGGCTTTCCATCAGTTTGCTTCCTACGTTGGACAGGTTTCAGGCACATGGCTTCATTGCTGGGTGTCAGACCCAAAAGAGCACGCAACTGTAACACATTGTTGACTAGTGTCTGAGTCTTATCTCTCCCTGTTTATCTCTCTATATTTACAAATATGTCGTCTTGGGTGTCACTTCTTCAACAATGCTTCTCTGTTGTTTTTTTTCTTCCTGCTTGTTTGTTGCGTTTTATATCCTAACCTGTTTAAATCCCCTTTAAACAATGAATGCCTTGATTGCTGCCTTGCATTAATTGCGTAGAACGTCAAACAGTGTGTGCACAGGTGAGTTACAAAGCTGATTTTAGCACGTGTGCTGAGTGGATGTGTACTGTGTTAGAGGCTGAATGCAGTGCCATATGTTACCTAATTGTGGGACTACCCTAATCTTCAGCTCAATATCTCAGTGTGTTTAAGGTTTTAGGACTCTGACCTTTGATCACACTCTGCAATTTGTGCTTCAGAAGCCCCAAATGACAATAATCTTAGTTTCCTTGCCAAAGGCTAAAGTTAGAACTGACACTTAATTAACAATAAGGAACAAAAGGTAAGTGCTTTGTCACCGGCGGGAATGGACCACATGTTTCAGGGCTATTGTTTAGGTGGTGGCTCAGCAGTCTCTGTAGCTGACTTCTGAAACCGCTGAGGGCTTTTCATGCTGAGCCCTGCATTCTGCAAACCAGCGGAGTTGGACACAGAGATGTGAGATGTTTGGAAGCCTGTATTGTTTTTTTTTCCATGTTTGTTATATTTGGGCTGTCATTTCATTTCAAGCAGTATTTGAATTGACCATTTTCCTCTCAATTACCGAACAGAGCTGTAGAAGCTATTCAAGCCAGCTGGCACAAAATGACACCCCAAGCCCTCTTATAAACTGAACCTCCAGTTGTTTTGTTCTGTTCTGATTCACAAGACATGTGCTGAAATGAACTGACTGTCACTGAGTGGTTACTGTTTTAAATATTCATGTCAGAGCCTGTATTAACTCTTCGGCAAGGTGGCAAAGAACGTTAAGCCCTAAAACTAGACATGTATCATTTTCATATAGGAAATATGCTGCAATTTTGATCAGTTCTGTAATGACTCATTGGGAGCTAGCACTGAAGTGCTGTTGAGATTCATTATCAAAATGCTGAGGTCAAATTACCAACTGGTGATACAATTCTTGCCAATAAAAAACAGAGCAATGGATATACACTATCTAAGGAGTTCTTAGTAAAATAACTAGTATTATACTAAAAAAAACAATTGCAGGAAAATCTTCCAGAAAGTATGTTATGCTAGATAGAAAGAACTATCTGTTTTTGTATCTCATTGAACCCAGTGCATTTAAATTGAGATTTTCTCAGCTTATCTATTTTTAATTCACCAAACTATACTACAAAAAAATGTAAACTTCGGAGTCAATGTGAAATTCGTGTTAAATAAATGCTGGCTGTGGGCCCGTGCTAAACTCCCTGCACTGAATCAATGGAAACAAACTTGCCAGAAAGGGATCAGTGATCACGTCTTATCTCTCATCAATCCAGTGGGGTCAGGCCCAGTTCTGTCCGGTACTACACATATATCTCAATCAGCTATGAGAGGAGAGATTGTTTCAATTAAGATCTGCAGACGTCAACCTCTCTCAACAGACAGGGTCTCTAACTTCAACTGACTTTTTTGAAGGGACAAAAGTGAAACGTACTGAAACTCATTAAGTACACGTGATCACACCAAAAACACCACAAGTGAAGCAAAAGTGAACAGCGGCGAAATTGTTTGAGAACACTGACTTATCTACGCAAATTAGACCAGATATCAGAGGTTATAAAGTTTCGGAGGTGTTGAGTTTGCAAACTCGGGATGGGGGGGGGGAAGGGGCTTTAATAGAGATGTTTGCAATACACAAAGAAACAATTGTGCAGCCTGTGTCCTGGGTGTTGACTTCGTGCCAGCTACAGGGCTGCATCTTGAGGGGAAACTAATTTTGAATGACAGGGGACCAAAGATCAAAGCTGCCCTTACTCTGGAAACACACTAGTCATAGCTGTGAAAAGTAAAATCGTGTTAGTAAGAAACCCGTGGCACAGGGGCTGAGACACCTCACTGGCTTGAGACTCTCAACAGCACAGCCCGGAGACAGGGGCGCTGCTGTAGAAAACCTCAACTGAAAGAGCCAACGACAGCGACAAGACACCAGCCTAGCTGAGAATCCCTACAGTACGTCGAGGGAAAAACCTGGGAGCGGGGCTCTCAAAGGAGTCAAAACTTCAAGACGAAACAAAGTGATGCTTATATTTGTAACACGGGGCAGGATAGAGCATGGCATTATACATCCTGAAAGGACACTTTTCAGGCCGGCTCCCCATGTTCTGCTGCGTGTTTTATGAAGCCAAGGAAAACGATATGTTTGGCGAAAGAAACCACTCAGAGAGATGTACAGCAGCAGTTTCCACTTCATCCTGCAGCAAAACAAGGAAAAAAAAACAGTACAAAAACACAGCTTTACCCAAGAAACACAAATCTAGTAACTTATCCTTTAGACACACCATTGTGCAAAACTGTGTCATTTCTTTTCCACGTACCTGTGTGTAAACCACTGTGGTACGTTGCAGCGAACAGGTAGGCCGCCACGGACCTCATTTCATGGGCAGCTTTCTTTACAAGACACGGACAAGGAGACCTTTGAAAGTAAACAGCGAAAAATGCACTTCGTAGAAGGGTTATTCTAGGATCGCATTGTTATTTTTCTAACAGATTTCACCATTGTTTATTCAATACATCAAACGGACGGCAGTAGGTTGATTTAGAAATAACCGCTTATTGCTATTGCAACCCCTGACACAGCTCTCTCGCACGGTAACTCCCACTGTTGTGCGCTCCCACCGTGATGTGAATTCCGGCTAGCGGGAATGTCAGTCCCATCGTTTTCAAAGCCCACCTGATTTGACCGTACATGTATTGAAGCCGTAGAGCAACACTTTTTTTTTTTTTTTAAGTGTTGCTGGACTTTTCTGCAAAGAGAAAAGGCGTTTGTGCCTTAGCCTTCTGATGACAGGTCCTGAGCTTTTTGAGGTGTGGAGAAAGTGTGAATTCAGCAGTCCCTCAGCAGAAAGTTAAGGTTATCGCTGCACTTGGGGTTTGGGTTAGATTGAGTGTGAGATTAAAGTTGGGGGGCTCAGATGAGGCAGCTGCTGGCGCATAGTACAGTATTTGCTGTTCCACCGAGAACGTGGACAGTTACTCTAATATGCTGGTGTGTTAATGCTTTCTCTCCTAGCAGAACAGGCAGGCAGAAAAATCCTCTACTTTACTGTTCTCACTGAAGTATAATAATGAGATAGCCTGTCTGCTACATGCTCTTGTTATTGTTGCGGCCTTGTAAGGATTTCTTTAAATATTTACTCAGTTATATTTGTGGTGTAAGAACCAGCTTTTAGATCTTTTATTTTCATAAAATCACTTTGATGTTTTAAATCTTCCGCCGTCGCCTTCCAAACAGTCTGCAAAATCAATTTGTTTTGCCTCCTTCCTTTCAAACGCGTCTTCAGAAAACATTGAATTATTATGGCCAGAAAATGTGCTTGGCAACAGCTAGCTCTCACTGCTATCGTGCTATAATTTTGCTGGTCTACAGAGATCTGCATGAAGTACTGACATACAGAAGACATGATGGATGGATTAATGCCCTCATTCATTTATTCCTTTTTTTAATTATATAACGTTAGCATGCCCAAAGGGGTTCGGCAGCCAGTTGACTTTGGACCCCTAGAGGTTACTAAGGAGTTTTTGGTTCCTCTCCTCCGTTGTCTTCTGGTCTTTTCTGTTCTGTATTCACAACATGTATGGTCACTTGCTTTGTTATGCGTCTTGGGGCAACCTATATAAAAATAAATTAAATTGAATTGAGTGATCAGTAACCCCCTCAAGCTGACATAGGGCGAAGTAATGAGGAAACGTTCAATGGCACTACTGTTAAGATGGAAAGAATACAGAAAAGTCTGAGACACCCACTGTCACCCCATTCCCCTCGAGCGATTCTCATAGCAAAACATCTGTTTACTTAAGCATAGCGGTTTGCATAATATTTTCATTCATAAGATGTACCTAAATCACGAAAAGAACACTTTGGGATTTTCAGGTCCATGTTGCTTGTACTATTGAGGGTGTGCTACAGCACAAGTGTACCGCTCCTTACTGATCAAAGCGATCATAAATTCACTTTATAAACAGTGTATTAATATTACTAGTTCAATCACAGAGACAACACAATAAGAGTAATGGTGACCGGTCCACCACAACTAGGGCAGTAAAATTTGACATAATCATTCCATTAATTGAGCAACTCCAACCAATATGTCCTTGCTTTGAAGAAGCCCATGAAGTGATTGATGAGCAAGTGGGCAGGATGAGGCACTACTGATTGTACTCAGCTTGTTGAATGGCCAATACAAACTGGGCAGGGCAAAAATAAACAGAGGGGCAGCCAATATTTTCCTGCCACCTACACAGAGTGCTTTGGACACAATCACAATTATAGATTGCCTCTGAAACGCGTTTGTTCTACGGCCAAGCCTACAGTACCATACCTTTGACTGAGGAAAAAAAGAATTTGAATAATGATCGTAACTTAGTAACAATTCTAATTTTTCAAAACACGCGGTCACTGCAGGGCCCTCGTGCCTCCAGATTAGATGAAACAGCATTTCATGTCGTTAACATCGAGCATACTTTACCCATGTTTTCAAAGCAATCCTTTTCAATGAAAAATGCTTACATCATTAAGCATAAACATGAGACAGAAAAAAAGGAGGTGGGCGCAAAACTACCCGTTTTCTAGATTTTCTCGTTTTGGGGCTTTTTTCGTTAAAGCTGTATGCCTGAGGTTTTAGGATTAACAGCTGTTGGTGCTGGTTTTTGTTTCAGCGTGGGATGTGCAAAAACTCTCAAAGGTTCACTGGTTTTCCCTCCAAAAATTTCATTGTTTTTAATTGTTTTTGAGGGTTAAAACAGGAATCTAGCTCTGGGACTACTTCATTCTTTTCTTCTTCTGAAAAGCTGTTAGGTTTTTCGTCTTGTCTGAACTGTTTCTAGGGAGTCACTGAGTGGTGAAACGTCTACAAAGAAATGGAGATCCGTGGTTTCCTCACCACAGCACCTCTTCTTCTGGAGCGTTCTGTTTCAACCATTTTGATTAAGATAAACTTAAAGAGATAATTATGTGCTGTAAACCATTTCAAAATAAAAAATGGTCTCCATGTAAAATGTTCAAAGTGGTTCCTGATGGGGTTTTGACAAAAACGTATTGTTTTACAGTATTTGATTTACTCATGATTTTTTTTAAATCATTTTTATCTGGTTCAATCCACCTCATTAATTCTGTGATGTTTCTTCATTCCTGCAAAATTGTTTCAATAACTCTCAGATACCGGTTTCTAATTAGCTCCTTTGCCATAACAATAAAATTACTGTTACTATGGTACTTGGGTTCAAACCAAGAACAGCACAGAAAGTGTCAAACATGGGAAATGAATTAGAAATGAAGAATGGTGTCCTGGTTGTTGGCTAGAACCCCAGGGCTGTTTAAAGATTTCTGCAGCTAAAATAGCACTCAGAACATTCCATAAATTGTAGTGGATTTTCATGTGATCAGTACCAATATTAGTTTTATATACCGTATGTCATTTAGATACAAGTTCAACATTATTCCGTCCCGTGTACATTAGTGAGAATGCCCCCATGTTTTCTGAATTATGTAATGTAGTAGCAGACCTGACCTTTCAATATCTCAGTAGTAAGGAAGCCTTATGTAACTGACCGCATAATGTGTCAAATAGGCAGCTTCCAGAGTTTACAGGCAGTGATTAATGTGTAAGAACTGACAAGAAAGGGCAGTTCAGGCCAACAAACCTACAGAATCTTTGCCACTATCTCACACAGACATGCATCAGCTGCTGTTTAATGACTGGCCCAATGTCTCAGGTCCACACCTGTGAACCTGCTGAAGTGGGG